GGGAGGGAGGGGGTGGGTTGGGGTGAGGGAGGGGTAAAAAAATAAAAAAATTGAAGTTGAATTTTTATTTTTTTAAATAAGCTTTAAATTTACTTTTTCAACAAAAAAAATAAATTGATTTTTTCAACAAAAAAGTTGTAATTTGAAATTGGTGGAAAGTTTTGGAAAATGTTTTCCTTGATTTTTGAAAGGAAGTCATTTTCCTTGAATTTGAGGAAAATGAGTTGATTTGGAAAACATTTTCCAAAACATTTAACCCAACAAAACATGAGAAAATTGGAAAACATTTTCCGGAAAACGTTTTCTTTCATACCAAACACACCCTTAATTGACTATTTAAAATGAATTTAAGAAAACCTCGTTAAGGCTCACACAAGCTTCATCTCGAACAAGTTCTCCAAAAATAGTTATTTGACTCATATCTCTATTTTGAATGTTGAATACTAGAGTCGTTAATATGGGCTAGGCCCGTTGGGACGGTCTGGCCTAACCCGTGATTTGATAGGGTTGGACTACAATTTTTGGAGCCCATTTAAGAAAAGAGTTTTTTAGCCCGGCCTGAATAAGCCTGCCGATTTTGTGGGGCTTGAGAAATAGAAAAAATTATAGAAATCCCACATTTTAGTTTACTTATTACCATTATCCCCTATAAGTTTTACAAATCTCCAAAATCCCTCATTTTCGCGCATCAGATTAGTGTATCTCGCGCATCAAATTAGTGTATCATGTATAAAATGTACATTAGATTAGTGTATCATGTATAAAATGTACATTAGATTAGTGTATCATGTATAAAATGTACATTAGATTAGTGTATCATGTATAAAATGTACATTAGATTAGTGTATCATGTATAAAATGTACATTAGATTAGTGTATCATGTATAAAATGTACATTAGATTAGTGTATCATGTATAAAATGTACATTAGATTAGTGTATCATGTATAAAATGTAATGTATCTTACTTAACGATTAATGTATCTCGTGCATCAGATTAATGTATCAGCGCTTATATTATTGTATCTCGCGCATCAGATTAATGTATCAACGCTTATATTATTGTATCTATTTGAGGGATTTCTGTAATTATAAACTTTTAAGGGATAAATTGTAATTTTTCCTTAAAAGTATGTGATTTATGTAATTTGCCCGAAGAAATATGGATAAGGCCGGCCCGTGGGCCAAATAAAAATTACTTAAAAAATAAAAATAAAATAGTATTAAAAATAAGAAGAGTCTAAACTCAAAATCTATTTAAAGTTTGAAATAATATAATTTAAATACAAATTATGTTTATAAAATATGTACTACATAAAATTAAAATTCCCTAAAAATTCTAGGGAATCACTACATAGGCCATAGTCTATGGAATATTGTCATAGTTTTTGTGTTTTATTATGATCATTGGAAAACAGTTAGGTTAATATTTCTATTTAGTTATTTATGCTTTTACTTGAAATCAAACTTAATAAATATTATAAAGATAATTTTATTTGTATATTTGATTAACAAGTAGTAACACTAACACCATGTAATATTGTCTTGTCGATATTTATGATAATATTTTTAGATTATAATTTAATTTAAAAAATTATAAAAAAAATAGACTTTTAAGAAAAGAGGGCTGGCCCGGCAAGCCCTAGCCCACGTACTTGTGGGCTGGACCGACCATTTTCTGGGCCACACAAAAAATGAGCTAGCCCGGCCTGGCCCGTCAAATTTCAAATCATGTATGGGTTAGCCCAGATGGGATGGGCCAGCCCATATTGACAGCTCTATTGAATACAATAGAATACATAGACATTTGGATATTTGTCATTTTTTCATGGACTGTCCAATTAGAAATACAAGTGCATTTGGATACATAAACACATTAAGTAGATTTGAATGTATACGTATACAGTGCATCCATTTTTTGTACAGTGGAATACATATACATTTGGATAATTGTATTGTAATATAATTCATTGTCATTTGTTTTTTCTGAATTGTTCAATTGTATTGATACATTAACAAAATTGTATTAAGCAATATCAGAATACAATTATTCTTGCCATGGAGTTCGCCTATTTGAAATCAAAACAAAGAAGATTCATTCACAATTACAATAAATCAAGTTAAAACAAACTTATGTGAAATACCTTTACGCTTGAACAAAAACAATGGCGACAGTGAAGATTTGTGTACAATGTATTTCAATTTTTTAAAAATTGATTGGAATTCAAAAGTATATGCACTGACCATATAATTATTAGTTGTTAATGTAATGATGAGAAATTGAGAATTTTAGGACATAATTAAAGAGATTCAGTTATAGTACCAGAAATTACCTTATTTAATGCAGTATAATTAAAATTGTATCACTTTATAATTAAAAAAACAACAAACAAAAAAAAAAATACACAAATACAATGAGATATTGATATAAAATGTACTCATTTTTTTTGTAAATAACATACTTATAGCTATTGAACTTCAATAACCCTATAAATATAGTCATTTATATAAATTGCTCTAAAATTAATCTCAATTTTATCAAAAGAAATCAATTAAGGGAAAATCACTTATGTGAACACCTTTTAAAAAATATTTACGACATTTGTCAACATTATTGTTTTAACCATATATAACAATTTGGCTGAATGACAATATTGCTAAAAGTTGCGAATGACAGCACTTTTTGCTAAGTTTAAAGAAACAAAATTTTTTAAGTAAGTATTGCTAAAAATTGACAAAAATGATAATAAATTAAAAGTATACTTAAAAGTGATAATTATTAAATAAAAAATACCTTCACTTATGTAATTTTTCCAATTAATTATCTTTATTCCACGTTCCAAAACGACTCCTTAATCTTGTAAAGTCCAAATACTAGAGGAGGCCCAATTCAATAAAATGAGCCCACCAAATCTCGCGTCAGGCGTTCACACCAAGAAACAATGGTCACTCTGTCCTCCAAAGAAGTTATCGATGGTCAAAACACAATAAATACCAAATAATCTACTCACTCCGCGTAGTAGTTCAAAATCCCTTCATTTCTCAATTCCTTCTAGGTTTTGGGTCGTGTAGCTGCTCTTTTTACCACCATTTCCCATTTTGGGCAAATCCGGGTATGTTATCTATCTATTTTTTCGTTTTCCATTTCGTTTTTTGTTTGAATTTCGTGTTTTTCTGGAACAAGTTGGTGTTTTTGTTTAGTTTGCGTTTGCGATTTTAGGGTTTTGTTGAAGATTAATGTTGGGTTTGTTTTTGTGGATTTGGCGTAGGTGGGTGAGCGGTAAGTGGTGACTGTTTTGAGTGGAGGTTGTGGCCTGGAATCGAGGAGAGGGAAGCTCATGTGGGATCAAGTTCGAAAAGGGGGGGGGGGGGGTGTGGTTTTT